AATAATAATAATAACTCATATAAATAACAAATTTTAAATTAAACACATTATATATATAACTACAAACAAAATTATTCTAAAATATTAAGTACAAAGTAAAAAAATGTAATTACAAGCCATACATTACATAAAAAAAATTACTTACAATTACCTATAAAAACTTTTACAAACAATTAATTTGAGGCGGCCGTAATACTAAAGAGTAAAAGACCATAAATGCACTAGAACTTCAACTACTCTAGACTTGCCTCGGCATGTCCACACCACACTCCATGCAAATGCACAACATACCCTCCGCCGGAAATCCCAACCAGCATCCATGGCTTCCACTTTCCACCCTCTTTTTATCTTTCTCCTACTCCTCCCTCTCTCCGCCACTGCCAGCCTCCACAAATCTAAAACCCTGCTCATATCAAGTCTCCTTTCCTCCACCGCTACATGCCACCTCAATGACACCCCACCAACCACCTACTTCGAATTCGAAGTCACCAAACCCATCAGACTTCCCAAGACCCAACCTTGCGTCTATCCCATTCTCCACCATGATTTCGGCTATACACATGGGAAACCCCCAGTTCTAGCAAACTACACCCCACCTTGTCACTGCCCATCTCACGATTTCTCTAAAATTGTTCTCGAATGGAATGCCAACTGCAAAGGAAGGCAATTTGATCGGATTTTTGGGATCTGGCTAGATAGGGTCGAGCTTCTTAGGAGCTGCACTGCAGAGCCAAGAGCTACTGGGATTGTGTGGAGTGTCAAGAAGGACATAACAAGGTATTACTCTTTGCTTGTTAAGAATGGGACACAAAGTCTTGCTGTTTATTTGGGTAATTTAGTTGATCGAACTTATCCTGGCGTGTATCATGTGGACATATCGGTTTATTAGTACCCTGCTGAGAAGAAATTCAATGACTTTGAGAGCAATTTGGAGAACTTGGCATCTGGGTATGGCTCGAGGGCTGATTTAATCTTTTACCCATTTCACAGAATTTTCCATTGAATGATGGGTTGTGGTTTGAAATTGAGAATTCCACAGATACTTGAGGGGAAGGAAATCAAAATTCCTCAAAATGTGTTTAGGGCCGTGTTAGAGGTGTATGTGTCATTCGATGAGAGTGATGAGTTTTGGTACGGAAATCCGCCAAATGACTATCTTTTGGCCAATAATCTTACTGACACAGCAGGAAATGGGCCTTTCAGGGAAGTTGGGGTTACTCTTGATGGAAATGTGATTGGTGCAATTTGGCGTTTTACTGTGGTTTATGCAGCAGGGATTAACCCGCTCTTGTGGAGACCAATTTTCTGGCATTGGATCATTTGATCTCCCTGACTCCCTTCATATGATATTGAAATTACTCCATTTTTAGGGAATATGTTGGATGGTAAAACACATACATTGCAGTTCCGCGTTACAAATGCTTTGAATGTGTGGTATATTGACGCCAATTTGCATCACTGGTTGGATGGAAAGAACACAAATACTGAAGGGAAGCTTCTTCAGCATCAGGTTATGCCTCTTGGTATTTCCTCTTCATCAGATTTCAAGGGTTTAAATGGAACTTTCTTGACAAAGCAAACAGGTCCATATCCTCAACTGGTTGGGTTAAGTCATCTCATGGCAAGATCATGACTAAGGCCATTCAAAATTTAGTCATATTAACTCAATGGTGATGGGAGATAATGGGAATGTTCAGATGGTGAATGAGGAGATCCATTTTGATGACAGTGTTCAGGTCAAGAAGGCATACACTTTCTCCAAGGCAAAGAAATCATGTAAGAGGTTTCTTATCGACTTATACTCCAACAATATGGATCAAGGAAATAGAACTTATTTATCTATAGCTAATGTTACGCTGGGATTTAATGAAAAGAAGTTTGGAGTTAGAGGTGCTGGTTACAAAATGCCTGTCAGTTCTCTCGAAAATTTGCAGAATGGGCAGGGCATCATGGTTGTTAAGAACAACTTGGTTGTCAATGGAGTCGGGCAACAAAAGTACAAGTATGAAGGCAATAAATTTTGCTACTGTAGGAACATTAGCAGTTCAAACTACACCATTCTTAATGATGAAGTTGGAAATGCATGCAACAGAAGCACAGGATCCAGTTTTGGTTTTGGGTTTAGCAGCAGATGGATAACTTCGTCCTAGTTAACGGTGAGAGTGGTAAGCTATTTGACCATGCATTCTTTATCGTGGCTTTTGGTGATGGAATGAAGATACAATTATGTTTACAAATCTGGCTTCTTTTGTTTTGTAAATTGCAATACCATCCTTCTAGCTTCGACTTTGCAGTAAACCTGAAATGCAGAATAAGATAAGGCCTGTTATTAGAGTTTACAAACTCTGATAATTCATATTTGGCAGTTGAGTTGCTTCAATGCTCATGCTGGTCTGTATAAGACATTAGATTGACATGTATATATAGAAATGCAGTTCTCTTTTGGCAAAATTCAACATCAAGTCCAACTTTTGTGGCAGTTGCCATGCTAAAATGAAGTATTTGCAGGGGGTTTCATGGCTGTATCCTTTACCAACATTCACGTTAGTTATGTCAATGCTCTAGCTTCTATCCTCTGTTTCCTTTCCTTCCTGCTTCCTTTGGTGATTTTTCTCTTTTATTTGAGTTTGGACTGTAAAAATTTCTCAATATCCTTAATATCTTAACATGTTTATAACATTTTTAAATGATATTCACTATTCTCTCTTCCTATATATATTTATTTATTTTGAAATATTGATGGTATTTTCTTTAAAAAATACAATGAATTTTGTTAATTCAGTTAATTTGATTAATCAAAATTTAACCAAACCAACAAAATTTGAATAAAAAATTTAAAATTATTTTTAAGGGCAATCTTTGCAAGGATGTGAAGAGATAATTGTTTTTTATTTTTAGTACAATTTATTCCTTTTATAACTCAAATATCAA